CCCCATCGTGTGCTCCTACTACAGGGCACAACTGAGAGCGTCATCACTGGCTGCATCACTGTGTGGTACAGAGGCTGTACTGTCTCCTGCAGAAGGACCCTGCAATGCATAGTGCAAACAGCCAGCAAGATTGGCTCCCCTTTGCCATTACTGGACATCTTTAACACCCGCCTCACCCACAGAGCCATCAGCTTTGCTGACGACCCTCCCAACCCTCACACTCCCACTTCAGACTCCTGCCTTCAGGAAGAAGGTATCTGAGTCTTCAGGCCAACTCCACCAGACTTACAAACAGCTTCATTCACCAGGCTATGAGGATGCTGAACACTGTCCCATCACCAACACCCCTGGTGATGCTGACCACCTGACGATCTTCTTGTTATTATATGCACTATTGTCACTGTTTGCACATGGCTTTGAGTTTCATCATCGCCTATTAGGTTGTACCATCTAGTTTATCCTTATTACTTGAATTCAGTTTTCATATTCTGTTTATTCTGAGTTTATTCTACTTTTATTCTATTTTAGTTTCTTAACCCTCCTGTTATGTTAATTTTTTAGGCACAACAGTAATGTTCCTGGGTTAACTTTACCATGACTAACCATTTCAATCACTATTTAGTGCAATGGTGTTCTTTACCTCTCACAGATGATGGTTCAATGCGGATAATGCACTCTTTTTTTTTCATAAAACATGCATGTTACAACTTTTTTTAATGTACATTGGAAAGACCTGCATATAAAGTACATTATTTTTATATGCCATTGATTTTAAAAAAAAGTTTTTTACATTTTGAAATCTTTTTTTTTTATGAAGTGATGTTGATAACTTAAAACACCTCTTCTGAACAGTGTCTTTAACCTCTAGAGTCCCTGCGTCCTCATATGAGGACCGCACAGCTTGGGTTTCCAAAGCTCAGGACTCTAGAGGTTAATATAAACATGCAGGGGGAGGTTGCAAATATGTGAAATGAACCAATTTTCATTTTATATGTTGATTACACCTGTTAAGCTGAGCAGAAGAAGTTTCATACCAATAAAATACTTTTAACTATTGTTTTTAGATGTTTTAACTTTTCACCAACAACATAACAGCAACATAACAGGAGGGTTAAGTGGTATGGGCATTCAACATTAGGTGAGAGAGAAACAGTATGTCTGGTGATGCTGAACCATCTGACAATCTCCTATTATTGTTAGAGTAGAGTAGGTACTTTATTGACCCCACAGTGGGGAAATTTCTGTGTTAAAGCAGCAATAGAGAACAACCAACATAACACCATAAGAACACATAACACACATAAGAACAGGGCTTCATAAAAACACGGAAAAGAACACAACGAGGACACAGCTGCTGTAACTTGCTGCCACTCCACCACTGAGACTCAAAACCACATGTGTACGTAAGTATGTAGTAACAAAGAACACTTAGTCTTAAAATAAAAAGTTACATAAAAGCACTACTGTCACTGACTGTACACAGTTTTGAGTCACAGCAGTCTAGGCTAGCAGCTAGCTCACACAGACCTGCGATACCATCCACTGTGCTGCCCACAGTTTTTAGGGCAGCACGGTGGCACAGTGGTTAGCATCGTTGCCTCACAGCGAGAAGGTTCTTGGTGTTATATCAGTTTTTAGTCATGATAAAACTCTGTTGACTAGCTTGCTACAATAACCTTCACATGTACTAGCTATGTAAATTAAAAGTAAACAAAACAATGGTTAAAATAATATAAAAATCTATTTGTTATGCAGTCAGTGAGGACAGTATAACAAATGTGATCATGAAAAAATTATTCATACCCCCAAAACACATTTTTGGAAAGCTCACACCTAGCATCAGTGTTCCTGTTCTGGGAAAGGGGATAACAAAATTAGTTTTATTCTGACTGGAGGAAAAAGGCACTGTTGCAACTGTCCCTTGTTATAACTGTACTTGTTACCCTACATGCACCTGGCCAGAGGTGGAAAGTAACTAATTACATTTACTCATTGATTGTACTTAAGTATAATTTTGATGTATCTGTACTTGAGTATTTTCATTTTTGGCAACTTCATATTTCAACTTCACTACATTTCAGAGAAAATATTATACTTTGTAGTCAATGCAATGGTATGCCCTAAAAACTATAAGTATGCTCCAGGTGTGTTTTCCAGAGGTCTTTGTGAAGGCTTATGAGAGTAGCATGGGAGAAGCAACTGGTTCATAAGTCATGAAGAAGAGCAGGAAGGGATTTTATTCCCAAGGAGAAAGATTCAATTGAAGTCAGGCGGTTTAGGCCTATTTGCCTTGTGAATGTAGAAGGCAAGATTTTCTTCAGGGTAGTGGTACAGTGGTTGTCATGCTACCTAGAAAGGAATAAGCTCTTTGACACCTCAGTGCAGAAAGCCAGAATACCAGGTTTTTCTGGATGCTTGGAGCACAGAAGCATGACCTGGCATCACATTCAGTCAGCAAAGAGGGGAAACAGATTTGCATGTAGTGGTCTTAGATCTAGCTAATGCCTTTGGTTCTGTGCCACATAGCCAGTGTTGGGATGTTTTACTTAGTTAAAGAGCTAGTTAGAGAATATTTTCAGAATATCCAGATATATTTCACAACAGCAGAGTGTATTACAGGCATGGCAGCAACTGGAGATTGTGCATTTTGCCATGAAGCCTACTGTTTCTCACTGCTAGTGTTTACCGTGGCAATGGAGGTTATTATTAGGGCATCTAGATGGGTTCCAGGAGGAAATACATAGGCTTCAGTCAGGGCAACAGTTACCAACCACAAGAATCTACATGGATGACATGACAACTATCACCACCACAGCACCATGTACCAGAAGGCTATTGGACAAGCTGAATGCTAACCTAAAGTGGGCTAGAATGAAGGTGAAGCCAGAGAAATCAAGAAGCATTTCAATATTAAAAGGTGTGCTTTCAGATAGAAGGTTTTGTATATTTCAACAGTGTTAGAGAAGCCAGTCAAAAATTTAGATAGATGATATGATGCAGCTTAGTGATAAAGAGCAAATTAAGGGTTTGAATCAGTAGGCATTTGATGGCATTAAGAGCACAAAGGTGTCAGACCTCCCAGGCAACTTACACTGTGGTGCCTACAGCTTGGTGTTTTGCCACGATTGTTATGGCCACTAACAGTGTATGATGTACCAGTTTCTCTGGTAAAGATGCTAGAGAGAATGTTTAGCACGTACATTAGGAAGTGGCTGGGAGCTCCGTGCTGCCTCACAGTGTGGCCCTGTACGGAAAGGGGAATTTGGAGCTCCCTATAACCAGTTCAACAGAGGAGTTTTGAATGCGTTAAGACTAAACTGGGAATAACACTGTCAGAATACAGGGATGTAGTACTGCTGAGTGCAGCGCCAACAGTCTTAGCAGGGAGGAAGTGGAACAAGAAAG